TCAGCAGTCGTTCACATGCGGCGCGCACACCTGGATCCGAGGTAAGGCAAGGTGAAAACATCCGCAGAAACCAACCCTTTTGAAACCACGATGGCACATGTATTGCAGCCAACTGGGGCCATCGATGTGCAACCAAAATGAACTGGAATGACCACCTACCGTGCCGACTGGAATTGGTTCGGCTGTCACTCGTACTCAGACTTTGGGTTTCACGATAGAGAGCCGCTGAAACAGATGCAAAAGGCTCGTCCGCTTGTTGTGGGCCGAGGCACAGAGTTCAATGTTGTTCGCAAACCGAGTTGAATTTGCACTATGTTTGTCGCTGCTCCTAGCATAAGTCCTTGGAGCATCGGCACGAGCGACGCCTGGCCTAACCAAGAGTCTGCGTGCTCGATGTGCTTCCGCCTGGTCATGAGCATCACCACATGCACGCCTGGCCCGTGGTCCAGACCCGAGCACAGGTTGCACATCCCAAACTCCCAGCTGAAAGACTCAAACCCAGTTCTCTTGACAGCTTGGATAGGTTCTTGCCAAAAAGCAACCCAGTCGCCCAAAGCCTCCAAAACGGGAACCAACTCTTTTTTGGAACCAAAGAGAAAGGGAATCAGCCCGGCCGCAATCAGAAAGCTCCTTCGGATAGAGCCGAGGCCGCGGCCAGTCGGAAGCCCCTCAGGAAGAACCAGCTCCTGGGAGCTGAACTCCATTACCCGAAGAGTTCCGATGCCCTCTGCCATTTCAAATGTGGGGCATGGCCATGGTGCCCTCCAGTATCTTTAGGGTTCTATGAATCCCTTCTTTCCTGACCATACTGGGACGCCTGGTTTGTCATGGACCTGCTTGCAATACTGAAATCCACTTGGTGCAGTATTCATCCACTGCAGTCAAAGGACAATTTGTTGAACAATGCATCCGATATGCGCTGCTTTCAACTCTGAGATGCCGCTCCATACCGTCATGACAATGATACTGGTGATGATCGTGAATACCACATATATACAACCATATATAATGGAATCGTGTGCCTTGCGCATTCTATGGACTGCCAGAAACTCATCAACTGTCCAACAGCAGAACTCATACTAACCTCAATTGGGTTGTCGTGCTGGACAGGAATGGCCCCTCTTGCTGCCCCAGGCTGTGAGTTGCCTCGTGAAGAACCAGCTCATAGTGAAGGAACCCAACACATCCCAACACATTTGGTACACGCAAGCAAGTTCCCTATGGGCTCAGATTTCGGAGCGCCCACTGAAGGTGGCAGCGGTATGCAATGAATGGAGGCAAACAAAAACTCATTGCCCGGCCTCGCAAAGGCGAAGCGGAACTTCGCTTTGAGCCGTGTTGGGGGCTCTCAAAGGTCGGTCGACAGGCCTTGATGCATACCAGTGACTTAGAGGGTCCCCGGGTGTTGTTGGGTGCAGCTCTCTACTTCCTTGCACAAGACCACTGCAAGTGGGCTTTCAACAGCCACATCTTGTCAGGCACCCCAGGTCTTGGAAGCTTTCAAGTTAGTTTCCTCGTGGAAATTGGGCAATTGTCCAAAAAGCTTAAAGGAGGCTAAGAACAGAACAGGTGTTTACTTGCCGTCAAGCTGCCTGGCGGCGGCCATGCAGGCGACACGGCAGCTTGGCCTCATCCGAAACGCCATGTGTCAAAGGCCACCCTGAAAATGGGTGGCTTCTTTTGGCTTTTTATTGGAACACCAGCACAAGAAGTGCCCTCCAAAAACCGTGACCGGAAACCCCCCTGTGGTCATGGTGTACAAGAAGGAACCCTTACCGTGGTGTCGACCGCGGCACATCCGGAGGGCAGATTGAAGTGCAGAACTAATTGAATCTTGTTGCTTCCTTTGGAACTCGGCCAAAGGGCCTGTGACACATTGGCTCGGCTGGATCCGGCCAGGATTGGGTACTCAAAGGCTTGGGCGTCAGGAACTCGGACAAATGTTCTAACGATAAGCACTAAGCCCACTCCAAACCGATCCCAAGGAGCCGGCGAATCGCCGCAAAGCCAGTGGCACAGCGCGGCCATAGTAGGCAGTGCTCATTGCGGGTCAGCTCGTGCAGTGAATGCTAAGGTGTGAATCAGTATTGTACAATGTACAAAACAGTCAAGCTAGGCGCTTAGTCTATGTTGCTCGAAGTGTGGGCATGCGTGCTGCATCAGTCAGCGAGTTTGGCGATCTTGCTTCTGCAAGAGCTGGTTGACAAAACAAGTGTCTCCGTCAAATGCAAGGACTCGTATCATCGAACGGGTCACTGCGGCAGGCAGCTCTGCTAAATCGAGCAAGTCGCAGCCCACACGAGAAACAGCTCTGCAAAGGATTGCAGCCAACTGCCAAAACTCGCGAAGCAAGCCAACCGGGATGCAAGGCGTTTACATCAGGTCCGGAAAAGAGAAACAAAACAAAACGGCCAGAGCGTTATGGTTGCAGGGATCCAAAGCGCCAAACATGTTGAGTCCAAATGGGTCAGCTGGTCATGCTGAACCACTGAAAATATGGTCGTGATGTCGTGATGTTAATTTGTGGAACCACTCCCAAACGCCGGCGCATTCTTGAAGTGTGTTTAGAGACAAGCGGCCAAGATCAGACTTTGCCCAGAAGGGAATTGCGATGCTTGGCTTTGTCCCCAAATTGAGAACTGAGAACCCACTTTTCCCGGCTGTCGACAGGGGAAACTGGCCTCGATGCGGGAAAACCGGCATCCCTTGGGAACGTCCACATTTGTAAATGCAAAGAATAGCAAACCGGGTGTCCAAACATGCTGTTCCCTCTAAGACAACCGCCATATGTCATACAAGAGACTTCCGCGCACATTCCACGCAAGTTCCCAGACTTCGCCCTTTTCTCTGGATGGAGGACAATGGAAGTCCTGAATGCATCTGGGAAACGCGAGCAAGGACCCCGTGACAAGGGGAAGCCAGCCCATAGGGCCATTCGATTATCCTTCCTGCCCCAAGCAACTCGCTCTGAGAAAGCGTCGAAGTGGAGCTTGAGCTTCTTCTTGGATGGTTCAGGATTCTGAGAGGCTAACCACCCGTTCGAGGTTCAAATTCCATACTCGGTCAGCAAAAGTAAAAGTGATTATCTTGCGAAGGCTGTGACCAAACCGCTCTGTGGCGCATCACAGGGAATCAATGGTCCGTAGCTGGCAGGTTAGCCAAGGCTGCAGGCGGCTACCAAGCTCCTCCATATCTCCTAAGATATGCGTCCCACGCAAGCATCTTGGCTGGCGAACGTCTTTGCAAGCACGAGACAACCAAATCGTACTGATGGGCTTGCTCTCAAGTTCTGCTAGGGGCACTAAATCTAACTGCCCTTGACAAGAAATGAATAATCTCATGGTGAACATTTCGTTTCTTTCGTTCGAATTGAGATTGCCACAAGTAGCTTCGATGTTTAGTGACATGCACTGATTCATTGCTTTTGTTAACAACGACTTGGATGCTGGATGCTTCTCACCTTGCCAACCAAACTAGTCTCTGTTTGAAGCAACGAATCAAAGACATCCACTGCCAAGCAACAACAACCCGTACGATGGATGCGGAGTTCGACTAAATGGGCGACCCAAACATGTCTCTCTTCATATGCATATGATGGCCATCTTGGTCTAGGTCGCCCATGAAAGGTATTGGGGTACCTTCGCAGCGCCATGCAGGGAATGCGGCAAAGGTGCTTTCAGCACAGCCAAGACTCACAACACTCACAAACAGCCACGAAAGCCAGCTTCAACATGGTATATTGACTTCACCGCAGCTCAAGTTCAGAAAACACAAGGTCCACAAAGCGCAACACCACTGTCCATGCGCTGTGAGGAAGCCGCGCTCTGATCGACAAGTCGATCGCGCCCTGATCGACTCGAGTCGATTAGCCAGTTGGGCTGCGGGCAAAGAGCATGTTAAAAGTTAAATACGTCTCACGCTCAAATGAGGCGGCTCCGCCGGCCATTTGTTCGTGCTCTCCGGGTCTCAAAGACTCACGCACACGCGACTCACTGCTTTTGCAGGAGTAGTGAAAAGCTTGGAATTGGTATTGCATTGTGCCTCAGATTGGGCGCAAAGGCTGGAACATGTAATTTGGCAGGTGACCCAGAACATGCGGCTCGAATCGATGACAAGTGTCACATCAAACCTGGTCCTTGAGAGGCCTACCCAAAACCAGTACAGAATCAAAAGGGCTTTTTGCCACACCGATGTTTGATTGGGACTCTTCCACATCTTTAATTTCCGGGCTTTTTGATGGCTCATGTGGCAAGAAGTCTCGCCTCCAAGGCAGCAACCGGCGCCTTGCCAGCCACGTCCTGTTTCAGATTGCACTTGTGACATTTGCCGCCTTCAAGGGGTCGTGCTTGCGAGTCTGGCCCGTGCCCGTGATGTTTTTTTTTGTGCAAACCGCTTGAGTAAAGCACTTCCAAGAGCAGAATGCATGTGAAAGCACTTGATTTTTACGCATGTTCAGATATGGGTTATGTCAATGTGAACTCAGCACTCTGAAAACCTGAAACCTTTTGAGCAAGCGCGTGTTTGTTTTGTAGCTCGGACTGTCCGAAACCAAGGTATCGTGCGCATGTCGGTCTGTACGGCTGATTCAGGCGAGCAATACCTTTTTCTTGAGCCAATGTCAGTTGGTAATCAATGTACATCATGTATGGCTACCACAACACTTAGGCCCCCTGCAAAAAGTTTATTTGTTTCCTGGTTGAGTACGCCGAGGGAAGTTAAGACTGACAATGCGCATCAGCGACGTGCTACACTTGACCAAGGTTTACTTGAATAGCCATTCACATGAGTTTCTACCAACATGCCTACAACAATTCATGCATGTCTTACTACAATTTCCAGGAACACTGGTGCACCACCACCTGCCATGGCTTCACTTAACTTGCGTGTCCCCTGTCCCCTGTCCCCAGGGCCGGCTGCCTCGTACAAGGAATCCAGGATAAGTGTTCCTTCCTCCTAGGCAACGCAGCTGGGCTTCTGGTGTGGTTGCCCGGTATCTCTCAACCACAAACCGAGGAAGCTCCACGCAAATTGACACATGGGCACCTTTGAAGCTACCAAAAGGGAGATGTCCTTTGACCTCTTGGAAGCCTCGCAAGTCAACTGCAGATTTGGCCGGGTCAATTCCCTCGCAAGGAGGAATTCACGTTTCGGTACCCTTCGCCCGATCATTTCTCTGGTTCACACAGATAAATCAAAGTTCGATTTCGGCTGAACAGCTGTCCGAGGCCCGACTAGGATGTCATTTCCCAGCTCAATGTCCAGTGCTGACGAAAAACTGCTGTTGGCTACGGAAACGACCCTGTGCCAGCTGAATTATTGCAAATGTTTGGAAGGTTCGCTCAGCCACAATGCTTGGTGAACACGGAGAATCAGGCATGGGGACTCTGCGTGCCAAAGGACCTGAACATAGATTCACTCGGAGCGATTTGGCTCTTGCACCCCATGAATTCTGACGCATTTCCTTAGAAGCTGGAATCTCAAACCTCCTCTTTCTCGTAGACGTAAGTCACTCTTTGATTGATGAATTTCGAGCCCCACCCCTTCACAACATAGCTGTGTCAACCAAGGGTGTCTCTCTTGATAGGCAAGGAAACACTCCAAATTGGCTTCGCTTTCCCTTCGGGTTTCCTTCAACGCCACCCTCCGCAAGGGTATCCTCAAGAACCAACACGCCCACACAAAGGTGCTCCCAGCTGTTGCCGATCGAGTTTCAGTGTAGCTGGTGGCCAAGGCAGGGCTAGGGCTGTGGAGGCTCATGCTGTGCAGGCTGCCCATGCTCTTGACCTGGCACCAAAACAAGTCATGGTCAAAAGCAGACTACCAACCCCAGGTTCCCTTCAAAGGAAAAAAAGGAGTCTACCGGAACTGTGGTTTTACATAGTTTAAACATGTTTAAACAAGGACTTGGCTCAACCCTGGTCAAACTCCTTCTGTGAGCCATGATCATGGTATCTTAAAGAGCAATCCTTATACTGCTGGTCTTACCACCAAAAGGATCCTTATACTGCTGGTCTTACCACGAATAGGATCCGACCAAGTATTCAATCGAAAAGCAAATAGACGGCACTGCCCTTTGGAGGGCCCCTAATCTTATCACATTCCCATGTCGGTTGAATAGGTTCCGGTGGTATCCTCATGGTCCCCTTGGTGGCCGATGCTCCCAATTCAAGTTGGGCAACGCCCGTCTCATTGCACCTTCAGGCTAGAGGCAGTGGCTGGCAAGAATTTCCACAGGAAATCCGTGTGTCAGTTCCTAAAAGTAGACCAGGTGCAGCTGGTGTTTGCATGTGCTTTCTATATGTGCAGCCAAAGCGTTGAGATGTTGCTCAGCAAGCAGCGTTGGCTCTTGGCGCGTCCCATGGAAACGAAGGACTGACTGGGCGGAAAGAAGCAGCTGAGGTGTCGCTATTCTCTCAACTTCAGATGAGTGAAACTATTGAAACCTCGTGACCAAAACAGAAGAAAAACAGAGCTGTCGTTCAATCTGCTTATGAGTCCTTGACATGAGGCCACCCCGCGCAGCGAGCCAGCCAAAGCGCCGAAAGATGTGGCGTGGCAAGGCCTCCAGATACATCTCCACCTCGTCCAGGGTCCGCGTCCCCTGGCGCAAAGCCCAACTGTGTCCAGGCTCACGGCGCCTTGGAAAACCCAGGACTTGCAAGAGTTCGCTGTGCTGTGAACTGCTGTTCGACATGGGTTTACCTTTGCACGGCAATCAAGCGGTCAAAGGCAGGGATCACCCCCCACCGCTGCCCGGGGTCGAAAACGAGGGGCTCGGGCACTTCAAGGTTTCTACACGTCCCAGCGCAGATGCTCTCGCATTAGCTCAAACCGTTACCATCAAATCACAAAGCCTGGTAAAGCACCAAGCAAATCACGTCTGGCAGGACATGCACTTCGTGCTGATGGGCTGTTTGATGCTGTGATCATCGCTTAAAATCGAGCTTGTCTGCCATGTTGCTCTGCCGATGATAGAGCTCATTTCCAGATTCTTTCGCATGATTGTCTAAGAACGGGAAGCGCTTGTTTGTGCGGCGACTCAAG